AATAAAAAATACGAGGATGACACTCTTTGGTTTTGATAAATTATTAAAGAAGTTATAAAAACTTTCCTTTTTTATTTGAAAAATTATCAAAAAGATCTTTTATTTTTTTCCCTAAAATTAAATCCAAATTATTCTCATTTAAAATTATAATTTAGCTTAATTTTTCTAGATTTTTTTTCTTTTAGAAATCTTCTAAAAAATCAATTTCTAATTAATAATTTTCATACAAAATAATTCCAAAAAGAGCAATTTAAATATATAATTTTTTCATTTCTTTATTTTCTTCTATATTTTTTATTCCATTATCTAGTATATATAAGGCATTTTCGACTTCATTATATATTTTTATTTAAATCAAAGCTAAATTTATATATGATTTTGCGCTTTTTATTTTTTCTCTTGTTTCTTTAAGTTCTTATTATTCACTTTTACATGTTATATATTTCCCATTAATTACATCTTAACTTAAAAAAGTATTCTCTTATAATAAATATTCATACAATTCTATGTCTTTGGATTTTAAAATTGGCAATAAGCTTCTTTTATTGAAAGTATATTTTATAAATTGATTAAAGGAATCCGTATTCCATATATTTTATTGTATTGTTTTCTCTCTAAAAGGCAAAAAATATATTAAATCATTCTTTGTGAAAGTCTATTTAGCATATTTGCGTAATTAATAGAAAAACTACCAATAATTACTTAAAAATTCAATACTAAAATATTTAAAAAATCTTTCTAATATTTATTCTTTTTCTATTCTTTCTTTAAATATTTCCCTTAAAAGCAAAAATAAATCCATTTTTTTCCAATAAAAGTTAAATTCTTCCAATTTTAGTTCGCTTTTGGATTCCTTACCATACACTACTTTTAGTTTTCGGATTAAAAAATTTAACTAAGCAATTTTTTTTAATCTTTATTCCACATTTTCTAATTTTTAATGATATTCAGGGGTACAATAAGTACAAGAAAATTAATTTTGAATTAATATTTCATATATATGTTTTAGTAAAATTAACAATTCATTAATCTTTAATTTTTTATGTTAAAGTAAATATCTTATTTATTATTTTAGATATAAAAAGTCCTTAACTCCTTATATTATTTTTTGTTTTTCTTATTAAATTTAATTTTTGCCTAATAAATAACTTTCTAAATCTTAATAAGTTTTTTTTGAATATTCCCATTTTATAATATTTATAATTTCCTTTAAATAAATATATTTCAAATAATTATATAATTTAAATATTTATATTATATAATTATTATTATTTATTATATAAATTAATTATTTATTAATTGAATATTAATAAATCTATTTAAAATATATATATAAATTTTAGTTTTTTTACATTATCAAAATTAAACCAAGAAATAGTACTAGAAATATCAAGTTCTTAAGAAATAAGAGATTTAAGTTTATCTTTAGGGTCACAAAGCTTTAATTTATGTATAGAAAAGACAATTTTTTCATTTATTAATGAGCTTAAATCTTCTTCATAATTTTCATTTTAATTTTAATTTACATCTCCATGTTCATCTTAAAGGAATTCCCAAACAAATAAATAATATTAATTAAATCCTAAACTATCCTAATTAATTATTTCAACAGAAAAAACATCATCACTACAAAAAGGAAGTTCAATAAAATCTTAATCATTAATGCAATTTTAATAAATTTCATCTAAAAGCCTTCCATAGTCGTTAAAAGAACTAACAAAGCACTTATTATCATCTTTTATTTAAACTAAAAGATTTTTATCGTGGTCATATTAGCATAAAGCATTATTTTCAGTAGCTTTTTCAACTTAATATACACCTTCATTGTATTAAAGAATTAAATAAAAACTTTTATTTTAGCACAAAATCCCTATTTAAGGGTTTTTATTTTCCTTTTTTATAAATACAAGTTCTTCTACACTAGAAATTATTGGGCTAAAAATTTTCAAATCAATTTTATAATTTATTTAATTTCCAAACTAAAGTTCATTTTCGTTGAAAGGTATTATATTTAAAAGTGTTTATGCTTTTACTTTTTATGATTATTCTTTTTCATTTTGCCATCTTAATAATAAAATTTACTCATTTTAGTAAAAAAGAAAGGTTTTATTATTATCAAAAGATATTTAATTATCTTAAATTTAATAAGAATTTATTATTTTTGATATATTTTCATTAATTTTTATTAACCCGAATGTATTTTTGATATTTTTTATTAAAAAAAGATTATTTTCTCCTAAACTAACGGCCTAAGTAATCTCTTCCTTTGTCAAAATTTCATTTAATTTTATAAATCTTTAGCTGTTTTCGCTCCATTCATATGTGAGAACCTTTTTCCCGAAAGCATATAATAAATAATTTTAATTATAAGTAAAAATTAAGCTAATATTTTCTAAATGATTTATTTCTTGTATTTTCTTAGTTCTATTTTCATATTCAGATGGTATAAAAAATAATTCTGATTTAGTTTCTGAATGTATTATTGTAATATATTTTTCTTTTATAAAATCAATCCTTTTTATATATTATAGATATTTTTCTTCTTTTTCTTGTCTTCTTTTAATATATGATGATGATGAATTATTTTGGCCTTCTTTTGATTCCTCTTCTTCTTGGCTTTTTCTTGAATTTTCCTCACTTTCATTTTCGTCTTCTTCTACTTTTAATTTTTTTTTACGACGGCAGCATTGAATTTATAAATTTCCAAAAATTTTTAAACTTTTTTCGACTTTTTCTTTCTTTTTGAATTATGGAGTTATTTATATATTACCTATTTCTTCCTTTTCTAATATACACGCAATAATTTTCTCAGACATTTTTTTTATTTTAATTTATCTTTTTTTATATATATATTTATTTTTTTATTTAAATATTTAATTTTTTCTTATCTTAACTTTTATTTTATTTAGTATTATTTATTTAATTAAAATCTTAATTTTATTTTAAAACAAAAATATTTAATAATATTAAATATATATTTAATATTATTATTCATATATAATTAATATTATATTATGTTGTTGTTTATAAATTCTACAATTAATATTTAATCATAAATTGAATATATAATTTAATTATTATAATTATAATTAATATATATATTTTTTAATAATTAAATTTTATAATATTATATATTTTTCATCATGAAATAAAACTAATTATTAATTATTAATCAAACTATATAAATTTCAAATAAAAAAAATATATTTTTATAATTATTAATAAAAAACAAGACAATATTTTTAAAATAAAGAAAATGTAAAATTAACATTAATTTAATTTTTTATATTAAAAAAAATATTTGTATAAATAAAAAAAAAATTATATAAAATTTGGAAATTATGATAATACTAATATTTAATTTTTAACTCTAGTTTTTTTTTTTTAATTTTATATAAATAATATTACCATATCTTTATATATAAATTATTTACGCCAAAAAAACTTATAGAAAGAAAAATAACAACAAAAAACAATAAAATAAAAATCTTTTATTATAAATATAAACTTTAAATTACATAAAAACATATATACATACTTCATAATGAACACCTTTAATAAATAAGAAGAATTTATTGAAGAATAATTTAATAATTCTTTCGATAAATACATAGAAAACTGTGGTATGTAAAATATTTATTATAAATAAATAATAACAATAATTTAAATCAATAATATAAAAAAGAAGAAAATAATTATATTGACAATTTCAATTAGTTAAATGTTTGCTAAAAGTCAAATAAATAATATATATTAAAATAATTAATATATAACAAAAAAAAAGATTAGTTACAGATATCTATGATGAAAAAAAAAATTATTTAAACTAATGTATATATGATAACAATGAAAATAACAATTATTATTAGAATTACTTAGCATAAGATGCATAAAATTATATAATGGATTAAAATTATTTAAAAAAAGATATAATAATGAGTTACGATGATTATCAAAGAATAAATACATAAAAATAGGGAGTAATGATTGGAGGAGTAAAACAAGTAGCATGCAATTGCAAAAAATCGAAATGTTTAAAATTATATTGTGAGTGCTTTGCAAAACTGGGTTATTGTGGAGAAGGATGTAATTGTACAGAATGTAAAAATAAACCAGAAAACTAAGCAGATAGGTTTTATGCAATATAAGAGGCTCGGATAAGAAATGTAGATGCTTTTTAGCCTAAAGTCATTAACTAATTTGAACAGATATACTAGTAAAGTTTGTTTAGTGATTTTAAAAAAGGATGTAATTGTAAAAAAACTAAATGTATTAAAAAATATTGTGAGTGTTTTAATGCAGGTATTTAATGCACATTTATGTGTAGGTGCGAATTATGTGAAAATGGAATGGAGGGATAGAAGAAATATAATAAAGAATATTTGATTAATTAAAATTATGGAGAATAAGAAGAAGAATTGGAAGTAGAAGTAGAAAATTAGTAATCTTAATATAAAAAATAATTTATTTTTACTAAAAATTATGAAAGCCAAATTTAAAATTTTAAAAAATCTAAAGATAATAATAAATAAAAAAACAAAAATAATACAGTTATTAAAAATAATATTAATTTTTCAGAAAAAAAATCCAAAATTTAAGAAGAAAGCTCATTTTATATGTTTGATAAATAAGAAAATAATAATAATAATAATAATAATAATAATAATAATAATGTTAAAAGGTAATCATCTAAATTTTTCAAATTTATATAATTAAATCCTGTATTGAATTCCTCAAATCTTTATTAACCGACTTAATATTCATTTTTATAGTAAAGAAAATGAATTAATAATTATAATATAATTTAAAAAAAAATATTTAAAAGAGTATTATATAATTTTATTAAGATTATTTATTATATTTATATATTATATATTTTAATTATTAAAATGTATAATTTTTATTTATATTTATTTTATGTTTTTATTTCTTATATATATTTAAATTTTTTTAAAAATATTTAAAATAGTTTATAGAATTAAAAAAATAATATATAATTTTCAAATAGGTTTTTTAAAAACTAAAATGTTTTTTTCTTATTTCTACTCTACAACAGTTTTGAATCCAGTATCTTTATTAAAGTAATTTTCTGTTTTAGTACCAATATCTGGTTTTTTCAATAAATTAGGATCTAATATTTTTATTATAATTTATATAAAAAAAAAATATTACTTATAAGTTCTATTCCCTGTGTTTGATTAAAATTTAAACTAGAAGCTAGACCATCAGTTAATATATCTCCAGTATTTTTTAATGGAACATTTCTTTACTATTCTTTCTTTTATTGTTTTTATTATTTTTTAGCTTAAAAAATTTAATTAATAATAAATCTATCAATCAAAAAAAAAAATTACTCAACTTAAGTTTCTAATTTTTACTTACATTGATTTTAACTTATCCCATTCCAATCATACCAAATCCTTTGCCACTTCCTCTAAATTCTTCCTCAGCCTATAATATATATTCTAAAAAATATAAAAATTAAAAATATACTTCATCACCAAATTTCATTCTATATCTTAAAGCTCTAAAATCAGTAAGACCTAATTTTTATTTCATTTTTCTGTATTTTTCTCCACCTCTTTTTCTAGAAGGTTTATCATCTGGTTTTTTAAGAGGTTTATTAAGTTTAGGAGGAGGTGGCTCTTATATTTTTGAAAATCTTTAAAGCATAATCTCTTTTAATCTATTTCCAGCAGATCCACTAAGACAAGTTTTTAAATAATCAATTCTTATTGCTTTTGCAACATTAGTTGATAACATTCTAACTAATCTAGTTTAAAATTAAGGTGGAGCTTTTTAAACAAAATCTAATTATCCGAAATACCCTCTATTAAATCCTTATCCTTCTTTTGACATTCCCAAAAGACTCTTTTTTTAAGAACCCATGACTTATATATTACATGCAGGCATCCTTTATAACTATTCTACTCCTCCAGCTGCTGTTATTAATCTGGAAGCACAACCACTTCCTACTAGGGCACTTAAATTTGGTGCTATCCATTTCATTCTACTTTCTATATATGATTATATCTATTTAAATTTGATTGTTTATTTTTTGCTTTGTAAAAAAATTACCTTTTTTGAATATTCGTATAACTCAATAACATTATCACAAGCTGCTAAGATTTATTTTAAATCTTAAGAGGATAAAGGTTTTCCATCTTAAGAAGAACCAGCTACAGTAACTGTAGTAATTTATAAATTAGTTAAAATCCCATTAAAATCAATTTTATTTAAGTCCTATTTATTCTAAATAAGTTTTACACATTTTACATAATCAATTGGGTTCAAAACAATAGATTCTAATTCTCCAAACCGCTTTTGGAACATATCTTTAGTAAATTTATGTACTGCTTAAATTCTTATTTTTTTATTTTAAATTTTTTAATATGTTTATTTACTCTCTTTCTATTATTGCAGCATATTCATTAGATTTTATTATTGTATGATATTCCTCATCTTAAACGGTTATTGGTACTGTATTGTCTAATTTGTTAAATTCTTCTATTTTTATAATATGCTTTTTAAACTCAGAATCATTTAATAAATTTGAAATTGGCTTCGCATTTATTTTATGATATATCTCTTTAAATTCTTCTATTGCTTGTTTCTTTTCAAAATGTTGTAAATTATTTTGTTCATCTTCTGAATCTGATTCTTACTCTTCTATTTGTAAATCACTTTCTTAAATTTAAAAGAAAAATTAATAATAATAATTAATATTTTAAAAATTACCATTATCTAAATCATCTAAATCTTAAAGAAATTCATCATCCTAAATATATTTTTATAAATATTAAAATTAAAATAATATTTATAATTATAATATAACCATTTTTAGATAATTAAAAATAAAAATAAATATATTTTTTTAATTAAAAATGTATATATATATATATATATATATATATATATATATATATATATAGTATATGTATAGTATATAAATTTTTATATATTTTACTATTTTTTTATTATATTTAAATTATTTAATTTTATTTAAAATAATTTTTTTCCTGAATAAATTACATCATTTCTAATATTAATTTATTAAAGTTTCTTTTTAAAATATAAAATTATATCAAATTTTACATATATTTAATAGCTCTTTTAATAAATATATACAAAAGATAATATATATAAATTATATTACAAAAACTATTTTTTTTTATATATTATATATATAATATATTTCGGCATAGTTTTTTCAAAAATTGAAATATTTTCATTAATATTTTATATAAATTATTTTTATAATTTGACAATAAAGATAATTATTTTACAATTTTTTTTTATTTAGTATTATTTTAGAGATATGTAATTTTTTTTAAAAAAAATATTTTTTACTTAAATTTAATTTTCCTAAATTAAATGTTTATTTTTTAATTTTTTTTAAACCATTCTTATAAATATTTGCTTTTTATATATTTAATGAGAATTGCACTGTTTAAATATAAAATAGTTAATTTTTTTTTAATTTATTTATAATAGACTCGAAAAACAATCAACTATTTATAATTATTTTTTTATATTTTATTATTAAAATTTAAGAAAAAAAATATATTGAAATATTGAAATAAAAACAAAGAACAAAACTATTTTACTATACTATAAATGAACATTTGTTAACAAGATTTAAAGATTTTCCTTGTCTAAGATTTCTAATGCGAACAATATTATTAAAAACCAATTTTATCAGATATTACAATTAATGAAATTTGTAAAAGCTAAATTATATCAAATAGTTAATTTTAGATAAATAAATAATAGATAGTTTAAAAAGAAAAATAATAATAAAATGATACCAATACTCTGAACGATAATATTCATAAATAAATTGGAAAATTAATTATTATGCACATAAAAAGTAAAAGAAATATATTAATTGATAAAATTTTAAATTATGATTAAAATGAAATTAATAACTTTTTAATTTATTTTTAAAATGAACTTAGAAATTTAAATAAATAAAAATATTATGATAATTTTTTATATAATGTTGATAATAATAAATATAATTTAATTGTTTAAGGTATCTTTAAAGATTATCTAATTAATTAATTTGATATAGATTAATAGTAAAAACTTTTTAATAATTAAATTTATTCTAAATTTAAAAACTATTATATGGAATAATTAGAATCTTTAAATTTATCTTTTTGATTTTAAAAAATGCGAAATAAGAAATACAAAACACAAAATACAAAATAAAAATTATAAACTATTTTGATTAAATATATACTTTTTAAAATTTTTTTTTTTTCAAGTATATGATAAACTTGTTTATAAAAATGTAATTATTTTATTTTAATTTTTTTAAATTATTTATAATTTAAATAAAAAATTACCCAATATAATTTTATATACTTTATGAGTTTTAATTTACGATTTCTTCAATAATTTAGTATTAGATTAAAATTATTTAGTTCATTGATTATCTTTATTTATAATTGTATAATTTTATATAATAATATAATATTTATAATATATAATATTATATATATATATATATATATATATTTATATGACCTTTAATAATATTCAAACATTAAATCAATTTCTAAAAAAGCTTTTTTTTCTATATTTATATATTACATATTGATATTATATATTGTAAATTTATTATATTTTTAGCTAATAAATAAAACCTACTTATATTCTAGTATCCTGAAATAAATTTTTATTTATTTTGTATATTTATATTTTTTAATTATTTTATATTTACTTAATAAATAATTTAAGAAACTAAGAAAACACTTAATACTTATACTATATAGATTATAAATATTTGATTTACTCAATTAAATTCTTTTATTATCAATAAAATTTCATTAAAGCATATATAAATTTTTCTATTACTAATTTTTTTCTTTCATTTTTTATTTTATTTAAATATTCTAAATAAGTAAACTTTCTAATATTTTTATTAGTGGGATATATGTATTAATTTATATGAATATCTTATCACTTACCCTTTATGTTTTTTAGATATAATCTTTTTATATTTTTATAGCATTTAATTATAAAAGTTGTTAAAAGCAATACAACCTTAAAATAAACTTTCAATTTATTAAATTTTAAAATATATTTATTAATATTTAAATAGATTAACTTAGTATATACTAAAAGAAATTAATAAAATTAAATCATATAAAAAATCTATGAAACTTTTAAATAGAAATAATTAAATTAATTAAAATTATGCAATATAAATTTAATATTAATAAAACTCAAATTATTTATTTAATACATTTAACTTATTAATAATTATATTATCTCAGTATAACTTGACAATTAACCTTTTATTACTCCTTTTTATTCAAAAAAAATATCATAAAGATTATATTGATAGATGGAAAACTATTTAAATTAATTATTTTTTATGCGGATAATATATTTTTAGTATTCAATAAAAGAATAATGAGTTAAAAGAAATCGATTGAAATAATAAATATAAGAAAATATATATTTTAATTTGGTTATGAAATCATTCAATGATTTTTTTAAAATTAAAAAAATAAAAAATTTACCTATAAACAACATTTTAAATTATAATTTAAATTTTTACAAGATAATAAATAAAATATAATATATCAAATATGTTTTATTATTAAAATGTTTTTATGCAATTAAAATTAATTTAAAGATAATAAAAGAGACCTAAAATTATTTTATACTCAGACAAATTTTTATATATGAAAAAGCATTTAAATATTTAACTATTTATAATATTATAAAACATTAGTGTTATATGAAAATGAACTAGTTTTTTACAATCAAAAAATAATTAACACATGTTAATTAAAATAAAAAATAATTTAAAATTGCAATAGTGTGTTTAGAAAATTAAACATAAATAAAAATAATAATAAATATTTTTTTAATTTTAAAATTAAAATATAAAATCCTTAAAATTAATAATTTAAATATTTAGATTATCATTAAAATATTCTTCATTTAAAAAAATATTTAACTAAATAAAATAGTCCTTTAGCTTTAAAATTATCTTAAATATTTTTAACTTAAACTTTATATTCTATTATAATAGAGAAATCAAAATAAAATGAAATTAAAAATTTAAATAATAAAAAATGTTAATTTTATATTACCTTTTTTACATTTATAATATGCATATAAATTAGTAAATATTAAAGAAAATTATATACAACATTCAATTAACCAAAAAATATTTAAAATATTTTTTAATATAAGCAAAGCCCATAAACTTATAGCAATAAATTAACTACTCCAAAAAAAACTAGAATCAACTGCATTTGATTAATAATTATTAGAATAAGTTTCATATTTCCATTCTTCAATTCCTTATAAATTAATTGAATTCCACCATCTCATTCCAACTAATAATCTAATTAAAATAATTATAATTTATCAATTAAATTATTATATTTATTTAAACCTTCCTGTTATATTTTTCACAGTATAGAAATCCATTACTCCAAATAATATTACAACTACAAATACAAAAACTTAATTATCAAAAAGTAATCCAAAAAAAAAATATCTATTTTTTTTTAATTAAGATTAAAAAGCAGAAAAAATAAAAAATAGAATTTATTGCTATTTTATGCAAATTAAAATATGAATTGCTATAATTACGTAAAAATTGCAAGAAATTTAAATATAAAAGTAAAAACACAAGCTAAAGGATGACCTGATCTAGCTAAATCATAAGAAGAAGTTTAAATTTAAATTATGCATTATTTCTGTTATATTTTTACTTGTTAAATATTATTAATATTATTTAAAGAAGTATTAAAAAAATCATCATTTATATTATCAGATTAAAAAGAATTAGTAACATAAGAATTTGACTAAAAGGATTATTAAAAAATATAATTTAAATAAAAAATATAAATATATAAAGAAAGTATTTATGTAATATATAAATGAATTTTAAAAAAAATACCTAACTCATTATATTTTCAATATTAAAGTAATAATAATAAAATAGTAAAAAGATATATATATTAAATATTAAAAATAAAAAAATATAATATAATATAATATAATATATATATATATATATATATATATATATATATATATTTTTCTCTTTAATTTATAGAAATAAATTCATTTTTATATTATTATTTTATTATTTTTTTAAAAAAAATTTAACTAGTTATTATATCATATGTTTTATATATATTCAATTTTTATTAATTGCAATATATTTTTTTTATATTATATTAAACAATAATAAAAACATAAAAATGATTAAATAATATAATAAATTATAATTTAATAATACTTAGAGATATTTTTCTAGTTAAATTATAACATATTATCTTTAAAATTAAATTTAAAATTCTATTTATATTAAAAAGAATTAACAAAATGATTATTCTTTAAAGAAAATAAAAAGTTTGAATAATATATCTGATGTAGAAGATTTGTAAAGTGATTAAACAGAAATACTTTAATATTCAACAAGTAATAGTAATTATACATTCTAAAATAAACTATTTAATGAATTATACAATAATGATTAAATTATTGAAACATATAAAACTTAAAAATTATAAATAAATCCTATTCTAGATAATAAAAGACTAAAGATAATTTACAAATTTGATAATTTATCAGATAGTTAAGAAAGTATTTAAAATTCAGAAAGCGACGATGAATAGTTTTTTAAAAAAGATATACTTAAATTAGTATGTAATTTAAAAAAAAATCATTTTAAGTTCAAATAATAATTAGTATAATAAAAACACTAATAATTAGATTACTTTTTGTGAACAAATAAATATATATAATTATTTATTTTTAATAAAAAAATGATTACTTAAATTTTTCCTTTAAATAATTTTT